AAACAGGGGAGCCTTTACACATCTTAGCTTTTAGTATATTGCATTTTTGTACTCATAAGAAATAAAGGTTTCAAGCCATAAAAGTTAAATCCAGATTTTGAACAATCTTTAGTTCTAGGATGTTTGGAAGTTGATTTTTGCTTTAACATATTCATAAAGTTGTGGGCCAATTCCAAATTGGGTTTTGAGCTGAGTTTTAGACTTCTAATATTATTCCCTGCCTGAAGCTTAGGGATACTAAGATGCTGAGCTTTGGTTTGGGCCACCAGCAACCAGAGCTGGGTGAATGAATATTATAAATATATAGAACAAATTGAATAATTCTTTTCACTATACACCAATTCTAGTGATGAATGGGTCAAAGTGAATTCCACTTTCAAATTGAAACTAATTTTTGGAATAACGTCTGGACTAGTCACTCAGCTCTTATAACAACAATATAACACATTTACAAAAAAAAGTACTATACACTTCAAAGAGAGTCCCATGGCAACTTAGCATATTAAAAGCAACTACAAGGACATTTTTTGAATTATGATTTTAAAACAAAAATGCTAGATTTCCTAAATAAATACCGGTTGGAAGCTGATTCCATAACCATGCTGCACAGATACAATGGATTCCATCACCAAGGTTTCTAGATTATATTTCAGTCAAACCAACAAATCTGCAGACATAAAAGAACAAGTAGTAAAAGGAAGAGACCAAATCAGAGACCCACTCTAGGCCAGTATTATTAACTTAATACTATAGGCCCAGATTCAGGAAAGCACTTAAGCACGTGCTTAGCTTTAAGCGTGCTTTGATTCTATAAGCACATGCTTTCTGAATAGGTATACTTCCCCGAACCAGTGCCATAGTAAACAAACAGGAAAGAATAGGTTTAGATCAATTTTCATTTGCAATCAATGAAGAGATTTCAAGTTCAGAATAACATGATCTACTATCTTATTACTAGTAAGAACTTGGGCCCCACTTCTAGAAAGTAACCCTATATTCAAGACAGCACTTAATCGTGTGCTTCATTTTAAATTAAGCACACATTTAAATGCTGTCTTGACTAGGGACAGATTTAGGATTTAAGATTATCCCCCGTCCCTCCGAACACACACATACCTTGGATCTAAACTTTTCTTTTTAAATATATTTATTAAAAGCTTTCTTTGTTTGTTTCAGCCTTCTCATCTCCCTTCAGTAGGAAAATAAAAAACTTTGAGATACTTGGAGGAAAGACACCAGGTAGAGTAAGAAAAAATGTGCCTTACAAAAAGCATTTGAGAAATGGATAGCTTGAGAGATTTTTCTCAAGTCCATCCTTCAGATCAGTTAACGAATTGGGAAGAGAACCCAGATTTCCTCATGCCTGATTCCCATTAGCAGAACAAGAAGTAGGGAATGAATCTATGGCAATGCTGCATGTAATAGATTCCTTTTTCCTCTTTGTGTCTCACTAATGGGGGTCAGGCAGATTCAACTGTAATATAAAGATTCTTCTATTGTGAATGAGTTTCTGGCAATTTCATTAAGATTCCCCCTTAGTAGCTCCTAAGCTAAGGAAAATTAGGAGACAGGATGATACACCAAAGGATATATAACTTGGGTTTGCCTTGGAATTAAATCTATGTCATTGGAAACCACAGCTGATAGGTTACAAAGTAGGAGTGCTATGTGAGGGTTGTTGCTACACTTCCAAATTTCTGTAAATTATTTGTACAGCCTCCGGAGTCAAGTACCTCTTAAATAATTTTATTTTATAGTCACACCGATGAGTATACCTACATCCCTTCTCCAGGATCAACTCTCCAGTTATTTCTTTACCCCATGATGATTCTCTTTTAAGGATATCATAATATCATGATATACAATATATCATGGCCACAATATAATGGATGAGCTAAGATTAGCGAGTGAGTCCTTTAACAGTATTTAAACATAGGACAAAGCGTAGTATGTAATCTCTGAAAGGGATTTCATTAGGACCTGTCATATGCTTAACATTAAGCATGTATTTAAGTGGTTTGGCGGATTGGTGCCTGAACGAATAATATTCCTTTAGTATTTTTTTTAATTATTACAGTGTGTGGGAATGTGCACAACAATAAAGCTGAAGTAAATATTTTTACTCCTTTCCAATTTTAACAGAATTATTCCAGTTTATACTCAGACTTCTAATTTATGTTTTTTTCCCTTCTTTACATCGCAAGTCTTGGCTAACAGCATAGAAAACAGTGCCGTGTTGTTGCAGAGTTGTGATATGGCTGGCTAGCTTCCATAGCATTATCTTGTTAATTCAAGATCATGTGCTTGTTCAGTCACTGTTAGTGTACTCAAGTGACCTAAAACTGTTTTAAATCCTTCATTCTTGCATAACTTTACATTAAACGTTGACAGCGCTACACTGTCTTTCAGCATTCTACATCCTATTAACAGCATTTATGGAAATCACTTTGCCTTATGGATTTGTATTGTGGTGCATCTCTACAAAGCTAATTCTTGTACTGACAGAGCCTCACAGCTTCACGGCAAGCCAGGTTATTCCATCCAATTTCCATTAAGCCTGCCTCTGGGAAGCCACTAGGGAAATCACACCGGATGGCATGAGATTAGCATTTCCAGATTTAAAACACTATATGTTTGGAGTGAATAATTTGACTCCTGCTGCAGTTTTGAACCTTAAAATTCTACTCTTAAACTTTATTCTAGTGTTCACTTTACTGGCACCCCAAATAGTGCTGCTTCTCTTTCAGTCTGTCTTTCATACAATCTGCTGTCAGCTCCCAGTTTGTCTTCCCCCTTCAATACCAAACCACAGGAACCCACATCTACTTCAAGGATTGTCTTGTCAAGTTTCTTTGACTTTCAGCTGTCTTAATTGTTAAAATAATTATATGTTGTTGAGAGATGGTGACAAAGGGTGGTCCTTGTCCTATGAATATGAATGCATGAGTGACTCATAAGCAGAGCAATGACCAGAAGGAAAGACTAGCACCACTGCTCTTTTTTCTAATTAAGAAGGTAAAATATTATGCAAATTCAAGGCAGCCAGTAGGAGAGCATCAGACGAGGGGTGAGTAGGGAAGAAGTGGTTCTGGTTGCAATGATTTTCAGATTCAGAGACAGAATAAGAAATTTAATATTTTAACATTTCAAAGTGGAAAGAAATACGCTTTAGCAATAAAAGTTTGCTAATTCAGTGACTGATGCCCGTTAATGATGACATGCATTAAAAGGGAAAGATTAAGATTCTTGATTTTATGGTCTAATCTCCTAGAGGCAAACAATGTGATATACTTTATGTCACAGCGATAGAGATCAGAATACCATTTTCCATGCTTAGTGAATTGGTTTCAAATACTGATGGCTTCTTGCTGTTTCACCTAAATAGTTACACATTTCATGTGTTTTGTTTCCCTTGGAGACTGTGGAACAAAGACAGATGTTTAAATCAGAAGGCTTTATCAAACCTCAAACTTTACATTTCATTATATTCTCAAACATCAAGCCATCTCAACAAATGACAGACTCCTGATGTGTGTGAGCTGGCCAATTTCTCCAGCTACCATATAGTACAGTAGTCTAGAGACCGTTTAAAATAGAAACACATTCTCCCTGAGCCCCTATTTGTTTACAACAGGCAAGTAATTGTACTGTGGATTGCCTTGGTAGAGTTCAGAGATGAACTGTCATGTACTTGCTTAAATTAAGACACAAATCTGTCTATGCTGCCCAGCTAGTATTCGACACTTTACCCATCATCAATTTGCAAAATAAATTCTGTAGCAACAGCACCTCCCTAGAAATGCTAGAGGGAAAACATAGGGGAAATTGAATTTCCTATGGAATTTCAGGCTCCAGTTGGCAAGCTTTACAGTGTGTTAATTTAAAACACACTGCCCCACTGAGTTTAGCTTTCCCGTGGCATCTGAACCATCTTCCACTTGATAAAAGAATTCTTAACTTGAAAATGCCTCATTTTTATTTTTCTTCACACACCTGCTTGATTTTATTGTAACCATCCAACAGGATTAAGGACATGCTGAGTGGGTTTTCCTTTTTCTGGCTGCTAACAGCCTGGTGATCATGGGGCATACTAGCCCACTTACTTTGTTTAGGAATATCAGGTTTAAAAGATAAATACAGCAGAATCTTTGGCTCGGAAGCTTTCGAAGCACAGATCTGAACACTAGTCCCCGTGGACTTTGTGGAAGCCTGTGTAGCTGTTGCCTTTGTTTTCCTACTATGTAACTCCTCTCAGCTAGAGCCTACTTAGTCTACAGGGTGTGGCAAACCCAGGACAAACAGCTACAAAGTGGTGGTAGTAATTAGTCCCAGGGGGTTAAAAGGCCTCTCCCAATCCACTGAGGAGAGATAACCACAGGGAAATAAGGTGCAGCTAGAAAAGGGGTTACCAGGGAACTAATTAGGTTCAGCTGGCTCCAACTGTTTGAGACCTTTTTAAACTTTCCCCTGCGGTTGGGGGGGGGGGGGAGGGGAGTGAGAGAAGCAGGGAAGCTGCCAGGAAGCTGCCAGGAAGCTAGGTGCAGCAAGGCTCTGAACCCTTCCAGCAAGGAAGGCCGCACTCTGTCCCCAGAAGGGAAGAAAAACAAGCACAAGGGACTGACTGAGGGAAGGAATAGCCAGACCCTGTGCTACCTACGAGGGTTTGCTTTGCCCAAGCCTGAGTCTCCAAGGCTAGAAAGGACTGAGCCTGCTGAGGAGAAGGTGGTACTCTGCCACAAAGAGGAGAGCTCAGTGTCTGCAAATGGCAGTCTTATTAATGTTGAGGTAGATATGCAAATGTGTGAAATCTGTTAAAAGGCTTTTTCCTCTCCATTTTCTCAAATGGTTTAAGATCAGACTAGAACTCCACTGAACGTCAAATACCCTGGGTACTGCAATACCAATATACTCCATTTATTTTACGCAGGACTAAGTTAGGGGGTTTCATCTTGATATTTCCTGGTCAGATACTGTCACAGAAATAGATTTGGGCAGCCTACTTACATTAAAATGTAAGACTCTGGTGGAGTTGACATTTGGTTCTCACTACAGGCTACTGAATGCTTTGGGCCCACCAATTCAAAGTCAGGGTTAGTACTTTTCCTCTCTGTCACTGCATCCACATCCATTTTGGGGGGAAAGTCACACAGACTTCCTTCCACTCCGGTGGGGACCTGCCCATTGACGTTAAATGTTCTGAAGGGGGAGTGAGTAGACAGGCGCTTATCCCATTCACTAGGCCGGGACTCGGGGACGGACTCCATAAAGTTCTTCTTCAGCTCACTGATGTTAGCATGATGTTTCTTTATTTCTTCTTGAGTTTTATCTAGTTCCTCCAACATTAAATTGCTATGCCTGATATAAATGTTTTCACCATCTAGTTTCTTTGATCTTTTCTTCCTCATTCTTATCGGATCTTCCTCTTTTTCTGCAGGCTGCTGGGGCTGGTCACCATTTGTGGTAGGCAATGTGACCTCGCTGTGCGTTTTCCCCACCTTGGCCACTTCAGATGGTTCCATCTTCGCCTTCTCAGGTAGCATTTCTTCATGCTTTCCCTCAGTTTCCACAGCTTCCTTCTCCACTTTAGAGACTACTACTATTTCCTTGGTATCTGATGCAGCTGGTGGGGTAGGTTCAACAACATGTCTCTGAGCAATGGCTGGTGCAGAGGTGGGCCGTGGGCTTCGGTCAGGTGTAACCACCGCTACTCCATCAAGGCTTCTAGATGCCCATTTACTTGCTGTTCGTTCAAACTGTGGAGCAGGTCTGTCAATCAAGGCACTAGCTTGTCTTGTCTGGGCCTGCGTCCGTCCACTATAACGGAATTTAGAGCCCAGTGCCAGGAATCTGCTCTTGGGAAGAGCTTCAGGGGAAGTTAGCCTGAAAAAAGTGTGATGTTCAACACAGACTTTCCACAGTTTCTTAGCTGCCCGATAACTAGGTAGTTTGAATCCAATGGTACTTTCATATTGTTCGTGCTCCCCTGGCCGGATCTTAATGAAGAAGCTGCTGCGTTTGTAGGAAATCTTCAGCACTTTGGGCCAAGGAAAGCGGTTGATTCTCAGTTTATCTTTATAGACAAGAAGGCCACTGGAACAGACTCCCAGAATGATGTCAACTCCCTCCAAGTCCTTGGCTTGGTGAAGGTCAACTCCATACATCGATAGCTTTTTTGCATTCTCAAGAAATTCGAGGTCTGCTTGGGCTGGAGTCATGGATCTGTATGTTTTATGTAGTTCCATGACTTTTTCTTCAAGTTCCTTTGTCTGGTTTGGGGCCAGTTTAAACTCACTGACATAATCTGCACTATGTAACTCTGGATCATAATCTCCTAATTCAGACTGGACTGTGTAAGAACTCAGCAGGGCCAGTGTCGCAAAGGAACAAGGCAGACGCCCTGTAACAATGTCATGTCTAAGCTGAAGACACAAAGAAACATCATGCTAACATCAGTGAGCTGAAGAACAACTTTATGGAGTCCATTAAAATGTAAATTTCATCAAGTTGAACTTTTATAACTATACTCAAACTGTTGTCGTCATAAAAATGTCAAATCACAATGCTTCCTCTTCTTCTAAGCCAACCAGTCCTCAGGAATATAGATACTAATTGTGATCGGAATCAGTCTGGACACTATTATTTCAGATTAAGAAGAATGGTTACTTATCAGTCACTGGAGTTCAGATTACATTGCCCCAGCAAATCCATAGCATGGGCCTGAGTACATGCACTGGGGAACTCTGGGAAGAGCAGTAGCTAATGGGGCCATAGGCAACCCTACTTGGCCCTCTCTATAAAAATTATGTGCAACTGGGTTGATTTCTGAAAGGGTTTGGTCCTTGTCAAATAGCAGAGTAGTTTAAAGCTCTTAACATCTAATGTTGGGTAATTTAGCTGCTAAATTCGATGCCAATGGACTGGACTCATATCAAAGGGATTAAAAATACAGTACCAATAAAACTCTCTAAAAACACTTCTAAAATATTTTGTCTATAAAAACGTACAGAGCACATGGTAGTGTGGTGTGTCATAAAGGCTTTATCCACACTCACTTGGGATGACTTGCTAACCACCACTTTGGGGTGATGCGGGCATTCTATACCAATAACAAACTGACCCTCTATACCATACTATCATTTAATCCAGATAGACGTATTACATATACACCCAATCAGAGAAACACTCTGGTAATATGCTTATTTTAAATATATTTTAGTGGAAATTTGGAGTTCCTCAGCTTGTATAATTTGTCATAGCTCCACTGCCTTCAATGGAGCTATGACAATTCACACCAGCTAAGGATCTTCCCTTTTATGTTTGTTTTCTGTAAAGGAATACATTATATGCACTATTTACCCTGACTAAAATGTTTAGACAATTCAGATCCTAAGAACTCTCTTTTTTTTAAAAAGGATGCTGGATGCATTTGACAATTTAAATTAAGTTATTTTTATTTGGATTGCAGTAGCACTTAGGGGCCCCAATTAGGGATTGTGATAGACAGTGTTAAAATACATAACAAAAAGACAGTTCCAGCCCTAACAGAGTTTACAATCGAATTATAAAGTGAGACACAACTGGTGAGTGCAACACACAAGGGAAACAAAAAGATAAAAATACCTTTATTCCAGACAGGGACATGCTCTCTCTATGCCTGATCATGCAAAACTTTACCTACTTGTAGCCCTGGTGACATACTCACAAAAGTAAGAGCTTGGAGAGTCAGGCCTTTTTAGGTTAAAATCACTTTCAAGAGTTCCCCTGTTGATATTAATTGCACGTTAAATTAGGCCCTGGCTCAACTGCAATGCACTTTATCAACAACACTAATTAAAATATCAGTATGATCTGGAATACCCACCAATGAGGCATTATATTCTTCCCGTCCTCTTCTAACTTTATCTAGAAAAGACTGCTGTCCCCTATGAGACTCTTATTCTTTATTTAAGCACTTTTATTGCCTGATTAATTGGTAATTGGGTCAAAGTGGTGCTGTTTATGACTCAGATACGTAGAAAATCATGATCTAGTACTAAAACTTAATGGTAAAAATTGTAATTGCATTGGGCCTATTTTAATTTCCAGAAGCTACATCTTAATAAACAAGGGGGAGGCTGTCAACAGCATGTCAGACTTCTTATGGGAGATTCAGGTTTCATGTTTGCCTTTTAAAATTATAGTATTAGCGTGATGCAATTTTTCTTCAAGTACTTTGGTCCTTGCTGCATCTGCTATACCCAGGATAAAAATGCCCAGTCTTACAAAACTAGTGCAGAGCTTCTTGCATAATCCACAGTGAAAGAGGATTTGCAGCAGCAGCATGCATCAAAGGAAGACCGATGAAATGTAGAGGCAGACAATGTGAACCCCAGTAGTTCAGTTAGGGTGAAATTCATCCATGTCACTGCAAAGCCTATATATTAATTAAGTGCCACTGAACCCCTATTTTGATGGCTGAAGTGATGCATAAGCTTTGTATTGGCCATTTATGTCTGAGATATTTTCATCCTTAGAACACGCCCTTGATTGTGAAGGACTGTTCCCAAAGAATATTCTGAAGTGCTTTGACCAGTCCAGTTATTTGTTTTAAAATGACACAAGCAACTTCCACTAACAACTTTCTTCTGAGAAATCTTCCATGGTTTAATGCATCTCACTCTTAGGAAAATTTCCCCTGATACTCTATATTCTCCTTTGCTTGGTTTCATCTCATCAATCCTACCTAAAACCTATGTACCACCCAAAACCACTTATTAACCAGAATTCAAATGGTGGACACTTTACACCCTTCAGGACAGTTTACACCCTTCAAGCAGATATCAAATAGCTCTTAATTTCTGTTTGGCCAAGCTATTGAATGTATTTAGGGGTGTGGGTTTTTTAGTCTTTCATCCTACATCAATTCCTTCAACCCTTTCATCATTTTTATTCTTTTCTCTAAATTCCCCCAACGTACTGATATTTTACATAGCACTTTATACAATATTCTCCATTGCATACTCAACAGTGTTGCATAAATAAAAATCCTTGCAGCCACTTGGATGGGGAAATACTGGTGAGGATTCAGCAGTCCAAAGTTGCATTGGCTTTATTTGCTGCCGGATCACATTACAAGCATCTATGCAATCTTCTGTTCACTATCACTCCTACTTTAGGTCTATTTTGGCATTCCTGCTCCCCATAAATCCCTCCCTCACTTAATCTGGGTTTTGGTCTGGATATGTCATCTTGCATTTTTCCCAGTTCAAAACTCATTATTATTTCCTGCCCATACTTCTGATTGTTCTGGACCCTTTGGTATTTCACTGATGTTTTCAACAATTTCCCTTTTAGTATCAGCTGTAGATTTCAAAAGTGTCCTGTTAATGAATATACACATGCGTGCTACCAGCTCAGTACACTCATCTTTACCAGTAGTTTAAGAATCCTTCAATCAGTTTTCAGCCCAAAAAATTACACATTTCATACAAAGATTATGTTTTCTTGAGGTTCATAAAAATTCCCCTTTCTCATACAAACTGAATATCCCTGTTAAGCACACACAAGTTATATTATTCTAGAAGAGGAGTAACAAAGTTGGAAAATGATACATCCCCAGCCTTCAGCGGCTCTTCTAGCTGTACTAATATGGTGGATCAACTCAAATCAATTTTGTGCCAAGAGTAAACTATTTTTTACTATTTCTGCATTACCTGTTAACCACAGAACAATGACAGACTGCAAGTATTGCCCACTGAAAGGAATTAAAAGGCAGTAAACCAAAGGATTAATTCTACTCTTGATGGTTTTGTAACTTCCATTAATGTTAATTGAAGTTAGGAGCACTCACCGAGGGGAGAAGAGCCTCCTGTACATTCAAGAAAAAAGTTGAATCGAAATCCAATACTGCTATGCAGTGCACACAGACTTCATGTATAGATTTGATGTTTTCTCTAAAAACATTCATAAACTTGCCATTCAAAGTTGTGTATGCTGTAGGCTCACTGGGAGGATAAGTTTGGAATAACACTTCATTGGTTACACTTTTCCTGTACTTTCCTTAGCATTTCAAAGCACAACAGAATTAATATCAACCATGTTTGCATTTTATCCTTACTCCCCCCAGACAGGAAATCTGACTTAGAACACTGGGGAAAGTTGTACTAAGTACTGTTCTAGGGGTGATAAATGTACTACTACTGCTTTAACTGTTAGCTCTTTGGGACCATTTTTTGGTAGGTGTTTGTACAGTGCCTAACACAATGGGGCTCCTAGGTGCAATCACAATACAAAAATAATAATAATGGAGCTAGGGGAGAACAAACCTTCTAGGTGTGGGTTCACATAGGTTTCATGAACCACTCTACCTGCATAACCTGTCCCAAGTAAGCAGTCTTATTGACTTCATGATGGGACTACTCAGGTGACTACATTTCTCTACATCTTCACAGGAGTCTTTTTGTACTTGATTATCACTATTAGAATGGATTAGTATTTTCAACTAGAGAAGAAGTACACAATATTACCAACTGAAGCTTTCTTGATACTTGTATGCATTTCTTTTAACCAGTAATCCCTAGTTGCAGGACAACCAAAGTATACAAGAGATGTCTTCTGAACTGCCACAATCACAATTATCAGAGACACTAAGAGCAGGTCTACACTGCTGCTTAAGTCAAACTAATTTACATCACTCAGGGGTGTGAAAAAGTACACACACACACACACACCCCGAGTGACACAAGTTTGGCATTGTCAACACTGACACTATGTCAGTGGCAGATGTTCTCCTGATGACATAGTTTCTGCTTCTTGCTGAGGTGGAGTAATTATGTCAATGGGAAAGCGCTCTCCCATCGGCATAGTGCGTCTTCACCAGACACGCTACAGCAGTGCAAGCCATTGGTGCAGCTGAGCCGATGCAGCACTGCAGTGTAGACTTGCCCTTAGAATTAAATTATCATTAAATTAGGTGGAGGATTTTAAATAAATAATCCCTGTTAAGTAATTTTAAATTTTACATCCTTTACCATTTTGTCTGTTACTCCACTGTTTGATTCAACTTTTTCAAGTGAGCGCCAATATTTTATCACAGTCTTTAACAGACAGTTCAGCATTGAGCAAAATTTTCAAAACTGGATACCAAATCCATATTCAGACATCTAAGTAAGAACTAATTTTTCAGAGAGGCTGAGCACCAGTAGCTCCCACTGAAGTCCATGGAAACTACAGGTCTGCAGTGCCACTGAAAAATCAGGTAACATAGATTTAATGCATAATTTTAGGCAGCATGTTTGAAAAATTTGACTTTGTTTTTTTTCTCCCCATTTATTCTGGTCTTTTTTTTTAAGTTTTGGAAAGAAGTAGTGCTTTACAATATTAGTTATACCGAACAAGTTTTAGGAGAGAGATGCAACAAGCCAGAAGAATCCTTCACATGTGTATTAAATAGGTGATATCATTAGCACTGCTTGCCTGGACTCAACGGATGGTGCTGTTATACATAGTCTGAGCTCTTATTGAGTGTGTGAGCACAGTTCAGCCTTTGAAGAAATGCTGCATTCGTTTTGTGACGTAGTATCTTTGGGGGGAGCCATTGCAATCAGGAGCATTTTGCCCTCTGCCTTAAAGTCTCTACTTAACAGAGTTGCTTTCTAGGAACTGGTGTTTTGACTGAGATTCCCATTGGCCGGGAACCGCAACACTGTGGGGGCGGCACCTGTGGGTGTGGGGGCAGCACGCGGAGCCTCCTTGGTTGCCCAACCCATGTGTCTAGGGGCTGCAAGGACGTGGCAGCAGCTTCCTGGGAGCCGCGGTAAGCACCGCTGGGACCAAGCACGCCCTCCTGCGCCCCAATACCCTGTCCCATCCTGGAGTCCCCTGCTGCACCCAAACTCCCCCCTGGAGCATGCACCCGCTACCCCCCCCACACACACACACCAACCCCCTTCTCCAGCCTGGAGTTGCCTCCCACTACAAACCCCACATCCATGGCCCCACCACAGAGCCTGCACCCTCAGCTAAAATCCTCACCCTCCCCCCCCACACACACACACCCCAACCCCCTGCCCCAGCCCGGAGCCCTCTCCCATACCCAGAACCCCTCCTCCCTGGCCCCACCCCAGAGCCCGCACCACCAGCCGGAACCCTCACCTCCCCGCCCTCCCGCAT